TGGGGGGGGGGTGTGGATACTATAGGTAAAAGGTTATAGGTTTCTCCCCAAAGTTAAGGAGCTTGAGAGAAGGTTTGGGCTGGAGAATCAGCAGACTGGATGAGGCGCAGAGAAAGGAGAAAAGAGGGAAATAGCCTTACTGGGCTGAACTGTGGAAAAGAAAAAAGTCAAATACATATGTGAGTATATTATTCTCTCCTTAGAGTGGAGCATACAAGAATTCTAAGGACTGTGAAATCCAAACTCAAGGTTTAAGACTGGCTACAAAAAAACCAAACAAAACAAAAAAATGGGCTAAAAGATCTAAGTTATTTTAAAAATCAATCTTTCCTCTAAGGAAAACCCACTAGGATTCCCCTAGGCTTTCAAGGGTAAAACAGAAGCATACAGCTTGTCAGGACCTCCTACGGCCTGCTGCCTGTTTAGCCAATTATTCTGTGTGAGCTCACCCTCCATGAAGGTCTCCTGAGTGGGTCTCAGAATGGGATTAGAGGTCACAGGTGTTCTGACAGAGGTCCAGGTACAGGCAGAACAGTCCCAACCCAGACTTACCACTGCTGGGCCCATTGTAGTACTGACTGATGTAACTGTTCATGTCATCTTTCACCACAGCTTCTGGAGAGGTGAGGACAGAGAAGGATACATGTGATGGTGTGTCACTCTGTTTCAGCTAAGTGGCCCTCCCTGAGTCTCTGTCAAATGGAGATAGTGACCACTACACCCCCCGAGTCATGATGAAGATGACAGGGAGCTAACAGGCAGGTTAGATTTCCAGAGTGGAGCCAGGCACACAGAAGGCCTTCGACACAGCCCTCTGAAGGCTGGGGGTGTATTAAAGCTGGAGTGCACACGCTTGGACTTTTCTGCAGGCTGAGGTCTGCAGGTGACAGACCCGAAGCTTTCTGAGGCCACCTCTCAAGGCACACCTGAATTGGCTGTTGAAGCCAGTCTACCTTCAGGCCCAGAGGCTGAGTGTAGTGGCCTGGTTCTTAAAAGCTTTTCTGGCCTCTTTTGATCTTCAAATGCCTGTGGTCAGAGGTGTGCTCCGCACTAATGCTGAGCTGAGGAAGGTGAGCCAGGCCCTGCTCGTGCATTAGCCTGCTTCCCTGTGGCCATCCACAGCTCTGGGAAGCAGAGGTGGCTGTTCCCAGCAAGCACAGGAAGTGCTCCAGGAAGAGCTGCTCACCTGTTCAGGCTGTGTTCTGGTGCCCCTGCTGGCCTCATGGGAACCTGAGCAAGTC